CATATCTGTTGCATCATCACCTATAAAATACAATTAAAAAAATATAAAATTTGAATTAATTTTTGCAAGTATCAATAATAATATGTACCTTGTTCAAAGGTGCCATCTCCATAGAAATCTCTGCATTTTGCACAAAGCAATGTATGTAGTACAGGATGTTCAAACATATTATGAGAATCTGCTGGTGCAGATCCAATATGTGCATCGCATGCTGTGCAATGTAATCTTTGAAACCGTACTGCTGAGATCTCTGAATTATATAAATTTAAAATCATATATTTTCATTTTTTTTTAATTTTTTAAAAAATTTATTTTTTTAACTTAAAAATTTAATATTTATATTTTTTTTAAATTTAAATTTTAATCTGTGATGAAATATTTTTGCATTAGAAACAATATAAAAAATAAACAAAAAATTATATGATCATTAGATTAATATTAAAATTTTTTATTAAAAATTTCATAAAATAAAAAATTATTGTTAGTATTCTAGAATATAACTTTTGCTGTTTTTTTTTTATTATTTTAAAATTGCAATGTTTTTTATATACAATAAAAATATGACAAGTGCCATGCTGTACCAAATGATATTATAGACAAATTTGTTGAAATAGCAAATTAACAGACAATATAAATTGAGTATATGTAAATTTTATGAACTTACCATTGCCAAACATAAGTTTATAATAGCTACACTCCTCTTGAGAAATAGATACTGGTACATTTGTCGTACTTGGAAGTAGTTCTCTGGGAGTTACTGCAATATGAAGTAGGTTAGACACATTATATTTCACGATATCTCGTACAAACTCGTCCTTTAAAACTCCACAATCTCACCATTTTCTTTACTGTCTACTTCCTTCACTTCATTCACTTGTACTTCAAGCATACTTGAAATATCCATTCTTGACGTGTTTCCAATCACGATCACGTCTAACGTTACGTTTCAAAACACAGGTTATCGCGCCGCCATTTTCCTGCAAGCGCACCGGCCTAAAATTTTGGCACGGGACGTTCGAACATTCAAAAAAATGTACGTATTTCAAAGATAATACCCTATTTGAGCGACTCCAAATCGTTGTAGAGATAAAGAAACTTATGTTACTTTTAATGATCATTTTTATTAAAAGATTTCAATAAATGTATCACTTTTAGAAATATTTCTTCCTATAATTTAAAAAAGAAGTTTTTATAATATACACAAAATATTGAAAATTTTATAACGTATAAATCAAGAATATAATAACAATTTTTAATTTTGAATATTCGATTGCGCAAATGTAAACGCAACTCACCCCTGTATTCATCACTGTGACTGCGGAAATGAATTTATTTACAAATGGCGACCACTTTTCGGATTTATTATAAAACAATTCAGACCAAATAGAAATTTTCGAAAAATATAAAAATGACTGACAATATAGAAGAATCCAAATATATTGAAGAATCCAAAAAAACATCATTAAAAAAATCTGCGGAAAAATTAACAGAAGAAATACAAAGTATGGCTAATTATAAAAGTCTTTATACTGAAATTCAGGTACGCACAAAGTATTTAATCATACAGAAATTTTTAAAAATAAGAAATTTTATATTCATTTACATTTTAGAAAAATATTTATTTATCATGTAAGAAAGAAATTTTAATTATACTTTGATTCAAAAAAGCAATTACAATTCGAATCTGTTTTTAATACGAAAACCGGAAATACAAAATATTCGAAAAATCAAAAACACAACTAATAATTATTACTTTTGTTTTTTAGAAACTCGTTGCTTCTACTGCAGTAAAAAGAGAAGATTTTAAAAATACGTTATTGGACGCATTAAAAAGTAATGGTTTAGAAACAGAAATTAGAAATACGGTATTTCATTGGGTCAGATCGCAAGTATATATCATTTTTATTAAAAATGTTTGTTTTAATGAGAATCTTTAATTAAATATTTTGTAAGGGTTCTTTATCTGCTGCATCAGAATCAACCACGAACGAAGTGGATTTAACTTATTTAAAAAAGGCTCAAATTCAATGGGAGCGTAGAATACAAAAATCTTTAAATTCAACATGTAATGAATTAAATGTGCCATTGGCACGCATAAGACCAAACGCAGATCGCGAAGAACTTGCTGAAAAATGGAATGAATTAAGCACTTATGATATCGGTGATCTTAATATTGATTTATTAAATAAAAATTCTAATAAAAATGTAAAAAAAGCAATTATAATAAATTTAAATTTTGTTCAATTTAATATTTAGATTTATCACAATATAGACCTCTTTACGCCCCAAAAGACTTCCTGGATGTGCTATTTTCTATTCGAAATCCTTTCTTTAAAAAACAGCCGTACATATTTATTATTTCTTAATAAATATTTCATAATTTTTTTCCATTTTAATAAAAATAACGATCTTTCAGAGATGAATTGAATTGGGAATTCAGCCACATAGAAATTCGCGTAAAAACACTCATGCAACTGGTATTTTTCTTTATTATACTTTTTTTAAAAAATAAATATATTTAAACTATGTATAAATATTTAAACACATTATTACATAAATTATTAACAAATTATTAATAAATTATTATCATTATTATTTTTTGAATAGAGATGTTTGTATGTGGAATTGGCAAAAGGTATGCCATTATTAGGAGTGAATCCCGATATGCCCAGTTCAGAAAATTTTGCAAATCTAGAAGAAGAAAGAATTTATATCGGTGAGAAAATATTGAAATCGAATCATGCTCCAATTGCACAAGAATTTTTGAAACGCGGAGCACCTCGAGCTCTTCGTGGTCGTCTGTGGTCTCTTGTGTTGGGATCCGCAGTAAAACAGAATGTAAAAATTCCAATATTCTATTATACGAAAAAAAAAAAATAGAAAGAATTAAAATTTGAATATTTTTTTAGGACTTAGAATATTATGAAGAATTAAAAAATATGGTATTACAATATGATATTGTCATAGATAAACTAATAATAAAGGTAACAGATCTCTTTTATCATTTTTAATTTCTTTTAAATAATTTTTATTTTTTTTTTTTATTAAGAATTTTTCTTAAATTTTTTTTTGATTATTTTTATGATTTGTTTTTTATTTTTTTATTTCAGGATGTGCAGCTAACAGCCAGAAATGATGATCAATATTTTGTATTTGAAGACGTTTTATATAAAACAATGTTATGTTTTTCTCGTGATTCAGAAGTATTAGCACCTGTTACAACTGATAGAAGTGCTGGAGGTCAAGTAATACATGCTGTTTTACAAGGAAAGCCAGCCACTTTGGAAAATACTCTAGTTTTTCCACCAAGTGGTGTGATTCCATTTCATGGCTTTACGATGTATGGTACAAAAATTAATTTAAAATTAATATAAAAAAATTTGTGAAAATTGATAGATATTTTATATTATAATTGATATTTAAACAAAATTAATTGATTTATTATTAAAATATATATAATTTAATATTAATTTTAATATTAGCTACACCGTTTTGTTACTTATATGACGACCCGTGTGCAATGTATTATACCTTTCGAGCTTTTTATTTGCGGTATTGGTTTCGATTGCACACTGTTTCTAGTCACGAACAAGGTATTGTAGCATTGTGTTTGCTCTTTGAGAGATTACTACAGTGTCACGAACCTTTGCTTTGGATTCACTTTAGAAACATTCATATACAACCGTAAGTTTAATTTATATTCTATATTTATATCATTATCAGAAATAATTAATGCTTTGAATAAAATATTTTATAGGATTAGAATTGTTTTTAAATGGATCATGAGAGGTTTCAGTGGCCATTTGCCACCAGAACAATTGCTTTGCCTTTGGGATCTAATTTTAGGATACGATTCATTAGAAATTATTCCTTTACTTGCAGTCACTATATTGAGTTTCCGAAAGGAAAATTTGATGCAAGTTAATAATCAACAAAGTGTAGAGGTAAAATAATTATTTCGTTAATTATTTATAAGAAATTCTGTTATTAATTTTTTATTTTCAGGCTGTCTTGGCAGACTTATCTTCTTTAAAGGTTGTTCCATTATTGCAATTGGCTTTATTAAGAGAATAATATAAAATGAAAAAAAAATAAATGAAAACTTTATTTAAATGTAAATTTAAAATTTAAATAGGAATAATCTTTTCTTTTATGTTTGTGCAAATTAATATCTTTTTTTCATGATTCATAAATAACTATTATAAAAATTCAAACACAAAAACATTAAATATAAGGTATAAGTATATGAAAAACTAAGTAATTTAAAGAATACATAAATTTTTTAACATTATTGATTTCATCAATATTAAAATTATTAACACTTTCTTCACATATTATTATCGCTGGAATAACGACCGATATTGGGCCTGTACTTGCAGCTGATTTCGGAACGTAACTGCACATATACATGGTAGCTTATAAATACGAATGTATGTGTGTTCAATAATAAAAATATTCTATGAATGTGTGTCTTATAAACAATTTAATAGAATATAAAATTGCAAAAATTTTAATTTGGTAAATGAATTTATTTATTTTTTTTTAATTTAATTTCAATAATTATTAATATAAAATTAATTTTATATAATAGGCATTTAAATTATTTTTTTTATATATATTTTACTATGCACTTATATTGAATTCAAAATATATTGTATACTTTTAATTATTTATTACTATACATTATTATATATTATTATTACTATTATTATTTAATAAATTATTGCAATTATTATTATAATTATTCCTTTAAAATCGCACATTTTAGAATATTTTAAGTATTAATATTCTAAATATTAAAAAGCATTATAAATAATATATAATAGCATTATAATCATGTTTCTATTAATATAAGTTTTTATTATAATTCGAGACTTTTTATATTTTATTTAAATATTCTTAAATATTCTTTTGTTAAATATTTTTTTGGAACACATTATATAATTTGCTTGTGATTGACAGAGATAGAAGAAGTCTGTTGGAGGGGGACTTTCCTGTTTCCGCCTGTCAGCCGTAGACTGGTAGAAATCAGAGACGCCTATCTGCCATCGTCATTGTGTTTATAATAGCTGATTTTTTGCTGAATTTAATTCTTTACTAATATTTTGTGAAAAGCGTGCAAAGCCACGCCGAATAGAGGCTTGTGAGTAGAACATATCGATCGATTTTACTTCTTTTTATTTTAGAAATTATATTGACTGTTATTGTTATTACTTGCGAAGTTGCAACAGACAAGGGTGGGGTGATTCTCACCCCCAAATTATTAGTCATGCACAGTTCTGTACTAACTTGAAACCCTTCATTAATGTTTTTTCTATGTACCTAAAAACAATAATAACTTATTTAATCTCTGAAATATAATTAAAAAATTTGAAATTTTTATATTTTAATAAAAATATTTTATTTTCTATTTTAAAAAAATTTTTTTTTTAAATAGTGCATAAATTAAAAAATTCTAAAATAAATAATTTGTGTTATTATTTTTATCAGATTACATGATTTAAGCACTAATTGATCTGAAAGCTATAATTGAAAACGTCAAAATGGCTTGGCGTTTTAAAGCATCTAAATATAAAAATGCAGCTCCTATTGTTCCTAAACCAGAAGCTTGCATTAGGGACATTTCAGTTGGTTCCTATCAAACTTATGGCAATAATATTACAGCATCTGCTGCATTTATGGCATTTAATGTAGATCATAATGGTATATTTATATCTTTATATAAAATATATATCATGTCTTTTATATTTTTATATTACATTCTTTTTGCTTTCTTCTTTTAAATTAGGATCTAATCTTGCTGTATTACCATTGGAAGATTATGGAAGAAAAAGCAAAACTATGCCTTTACTTCATGCTCATGCAGATACAGTAACCGATATGGATTTTTCTCCATTTCATGATGGTTTATTAGCTACTGGTTCTCAGGATTGTCTTGTAAGTCATAATATTTTATGATAAAAATGTTTATCAATTATAAATATTTGCATAATTATGTTATTTATATTGTATAATTAATTAAATTATAAATTATTATAATTTTCTTATTATAGGTTAAGCTATGGCACATTCCAGAAGCTGGCTTAGAGGAACCTCTGTGTAATCCTGAATGTACATTCTCTCATCGTCAAAGAAGAGTGGAAGTAGTGTGTTGGCATCCTTCAGCTGAACATCTTCTTACAACAGTATCATATACAAATTTATCTCTATGGGATGTGATTTCACAACAAGAATTATTTTGTAAATAAAAAATATCATATTTGAGTGCTAGATAAAACATTTTCTAATAATTTTTAATTTATATTACTTTATTATGTTACAGCTAATAATGAACATACAGATGTTATTCAATCTTTAAGTTGGAAGCAAGATGGTGTACTCTTAGCTACATCTTGCAAAGATAAACAAGTGAGAATCATAGATCCTCGTGCTTCTACTTGCATTGTCAATTGCTGTTCCAGTCATCAAAGTATCAAAGATTCTAGATGTGTTTGGTTGAATAACAGTGATAGAATACTCACTACAGGATTTGATGCAGCAAGATTAAGACAGATTTATATAAGAGACTTGAGGCATTTAAATGAACCTGTAAAAACCTTAGAATTAGATTGTAGTACAGGGTAAGAATTGATTAATACTTTATTTTCTGAAATTATTTTATTATTTTAAAAATGTCTTAATGACTTTTTTTAAGTAATTATATCATTCTACAATATTTGTATATAATATAAAAATACAATATAAATTATATTTCACAGTATTCTAATGCCTCTTTTTGATCCTGATACAAATATGCTTTTTTTGGCTGGAAAAGGAGATACTACTATTATGTACATGGAAGTTATGGACAAAGATCCATTTTTAGTTGAAGGTATTCGTCACAGTGGAGAACAAACAAAAGGAGTATGTTTAGTGCCAAAACGAGCACTAACTGTGATGCAAGCTGAAGTTAATAGATTATTACAACTCACTTCCACTATGGTGATACCTATTATGTATCAAGTTCCACGAAAAGTAAGTATATTTTAAAAATATTTTAAAAATGTAATTAATACTATATGTATTTTTTAAAATTAAAAATTATTGATTAAAATTATTGATTATCAAAATTTTTAATTAAATTTCAAAATTCTAATTTTAGACATACAGAGATTTTCATGCTGACATTTATCCAGATACAATAGGATGTGTTGCACAAAATAATGCAGCAGCCTGGATTAAAGGACATAATATGTCTGTTCCTAAAATATCTTTAGATCCTGCTAAGAGAAATAAGGGAGAGGAATCCATTACTGTAAGTAAATACTTCTATATTTTTTTTTAGCACTTTTAAAAAATGTAAAAAACTTAAAATGTATAAAATATAGTAGAATTTTTTTTAATAAATATAGAAAAATATTGATTAATTTTATCAAAACTTATAATTTTTTATGATGTGATGTTATTAAATTGCACGCTTATCATCATCATTTCATTTTATTATCCTTTTTGCTATTCTGTTTGCTAGTTTGAAATAAGTTTTTAAAGGCATCTTTCTTTCTACTTTTTAATGTGCTGTGCGATGTATTATTTATGTTTAACTTTTATTATAGATTAATGTTAAACAAATAGTAGCAATGTATCAGATATATAATATATAATTTATTAATGCAAACTTGATAAATATATTTAAATTTATAAATTATTCAATTCAAATTTATAAATTATTGTTTTCTGATACTTTGCTAATTGTATATTTATGTACATAAGTACATAAGAAAGTAATATAGAAGTAGAACATAATTTAAATATTTTTATTACTTATATTTAGAAACTTCTTTATGCATTTTCTTTTGGCTGATAATGTACGTTTCATTTTGCATTATTTAATTTCATTTCCTCATGTTCTGTGTATATTTTTTCACGTTTCAGATATCCAATGTATGTTTTATAGTTTATACATTAGCACCATTCAAAGTGTTATTCCTGGCACGTGTAATTTAAATGGCAATTGATGTTCTGTAGCTTATTATATCAGCGTAAGTAATCTTAAGTATGCGCGTAACATAGCTCTTGTGTTTTTAAGCAAATGCTTCAATATGTTCTTTCTTTTTGTACATATTTGAATTTTTGAATCTTTTTGTTATGCATAGATGTAAAAAAAAGTAGAAACTTTGATATTTTATAAAAAGAATTATAAAAATATCGTGTCTTTGTTGTTTTTTATGTATTTTCTACAATTGCAATGTACAGATAATGTACATCTGCAATGTTTGTAGAAATTTTATAGCATTAATGTAAAATAAAAGTTTTGAAAGTGGAATTTGTTAATAAAAACATTTGTACCATTAAGAAATTTACCATACTCTTAGGTACATAAAGGAAACTTAGCAACACTCAAAGAAAATGAACGAGAAATAAAAATAGAGCAGAAACAATTGAAATCCATAACTATTGCTGCATCAAAAATTTATACAAAGACACAAGAAGGGAATGATAAAGAATCATTATCTGAGGATGATATTGAAAAATTAGAAGATCCAAAGAAAATAGAAATTGAAGACGATAAAAATAAAGTGCAGAATGGAGGTCAAATGATTCCACCAAAACCTTTGCCAAGGTCATCAAGAACTAATAGCATTTCCGAAGATGAACCGAAGCCAGTCGCACGTCCTCGAACATCACCAAATATGGGCTCAGTAGTTACATCCGTGAATCCTAATGCGATTGGAGGATATAAGGTTGTAATCTGGTATAAGAAAAAATAATAGCGTTATGAACAGAATTTTATTTTAAAAAAAAATGTTCTACTTCTGTATGCTTGATAATATTCTTCTTCATTTCATTTTTCTCATTACAATTATAACATCATCATAAATAATTTATCATGAGATTTTCATTTAAAAAAGAAAAAAACTTAGTTTTTTTTTTAATTTTTTTAGCCTCGACTTGGACCAAAACCGTTTCAAGCAAAATCAGGTAGTCAAGAATTTTCTTTTGACAAGATTTTTTCTGTTCCTATTGCTCCAAATAATGACACAAATGGTTATCAAAATGATTTAAATAATCAAATAGAGAATAATATTGAACCAGAGAAATCGCCATCATTTAATAATGAACGCATCAAAGAAACAGAAAATGGAAAAAGTGATTCCAGTTCTTTGGAAGAAGATACAAATTCAAGTGATTCTGGTTACAAACCAAAAACACCAAGTACTGCAGAAAGACGCAAAGTTTTTGAAATAAAGAGTAAAGATGAATCGCCTGAAAATGAAGAATTAGGAAATTTCGAACGAGGCAATACAAACAGAAATTCTATTGCTGAGAGAAGAAGACTTTACGAAAGTCGTTCTGTATCTGTAACTGATGGAAATTTAGCAGAGAAGGCAATGGGTTCGCCAACGATGTTGAGACGTAGAGATTCCTTTAAAACCAAAAGTGAGGTGATTAAAGAAGATGAAGTTAAAAAAGTTATTTCAATGTTGCGCCAGCAAAGTATGGATCCGCGATTGGAGAAAGTGGATAATTCTGTAACGCCAACGCCAAAGAGAACATCAACTGTATTTGGTAAGAAAAATATAAAAATTTTTTATAAAATATATTTAGTAATTGATATACTTAGTATATTTAAATTTTAATAAAGTTTAAATTTAATTCTTTACTATTCAACTCTATTTATCACTTAATATTCTAACACTAATTTGTCATATTATCTTTTTGGTTTTATTCTTTTTTTTTATTATTAATAATAATATATAATTATTAATAATAATAATAATTAATAATTAATATATTATTAATAATAATAATATAATTCAAAATTGTTATTTGTTATAATT